GTGTGTGCCAAGATGTATGTGGAAGACAGAGGATGGTTTTGAGACATCTGTTCTTTCCTTCCAATGTGGGTGCCATGGACAGAACTTAAGTTTATCTTGCTTGCACAGACCACATGAGTTTATTTTCTACACCATCTCACTGGCCAGTTTTGCTCTATTTTAAACCCAGTGCTTCTCTGTAGCATCAGACTTACTCAGTAATAGTCAAGTTGATATCCTACCTGATTACAGATGGGAAAAATCCTGTCAATTAGAAATACTTTGCCTTTGATTAATCCCAATCAAGTAAATGGCATTTAAATTCATCTAAAATGAAATGCAAATCATCTGAGATGAATGGGGCCATCTGGACGACCTAAAGTCACCTTCATGCAGGTGAATCCAATTTGGTTTTTGCTTTCTTGAATTAAAAATCAAATAATCTTATTTTCTCTGTAGCATTTACCATTACTTTATATAAATATTATTTGTTTGTTTACTTGTTCATTTCTTCGTTCCCCTAACAAGAAAATTAACTCCAATGACATCTGGGATTTTAACTGCTTTGCTCAGCGCTGCATTCCTAGTACTTAAAACGGCTCCTGACATATACACTTTCAGTAACGTCTACAAATAATGAGTATACTGCTATGAACTCTAGAAAAATTAGAAATCATAAATACCAGGTCTTTCAAAATGTATGACTACTCGAAAGATTGACATTTATATTGATAAAAGGCAAGAGTCAGGGATAAATGAAACTAGAAATCATTTGACTAGGAAAAGACAGTCACAGGACATTTACAATCCCAATCAATGCTTAATGGTTCCCAAATTTGCCTTTTCCATGATGATTAATTCTGAAATAATTTTGGTTGCCATTCTTGTTTCATTTTACTTTTGAAAACAAAACAAAAGGTTCCCTAAGAAAATAACGATTTCTCCATATTGTACTGTAAACAGACATTTCCTGCCCTTAGCACCCGGTCCCAAATAACTGACTGAGAGGCTGAATATGAATTATAAATGCTCAGCCAATAGCCCAGGCTTGTTTTTGGCTAACTCTTATATTTAAATTAACCCATATTTCTATTCATGTTCTGCCATACGCCGGTACCTTTATTAGCATGGCACGTTCATCTCCTGCTCCCTCTGCATCTGGCTGGTGACTCCTGACTCCACCCTTCTCCTTCCCATCATTCTTAGTTTGGTCATTCTGCCTATACTTCCTGCCTGGCTACTGGCAAATCAGCATTTTATTAAACCAATTCAAGTGACACATCTTTACAGTGTACAGGAGGATTATTCCACAACACTGTACCAACTCCAAATTAACAGATTTTCATTAGCAGTCTTTTTTCACCTTCCAATGGAGACACCCAAGGTGAGATGGTTATATAATGAGAATAAAGTCTTGTTTCTGGGTCCTTACTAGGGAAAAGAGGCACAAGCTTCAAATTAGGAAAAATGTAGCTATAAAGAACCAACTGGAAGGCTGCAAAACCTAGCCTGTCATGTTCATTCTGGTATTTTCACCTGGTTCTTTTTTTTCCCCATATATATATATGTTGTCCGTATGTGTATATATATATATGTACATATATATATATATGTATATATATATATATATATATAGAGAGAGAGAGAGAGAGAGAGAGAGACAGATAGATAGATACATATATACATAAACAAATTCTACTAGGAAAGACAACTTCACATCTGAATTTTCCCATATCATTGAAAAGCAAGCAATTTTAGGGAAAAGTATTCAAGTGAGGGGGAAAATTCTGATTTGAAAATGCCCAGTATAATGGTTAGTATTTTAATTGACAATTTAATTATAAAATACAGCTGAGAAGTGTTTTTAATTTTTAGTCTTTTTTTTAGTTTTTTAATACTGGAATTTGTAATATTATAAAGATAATTATAATAGCAAAGTTAACAATAATATCAATTACTAACATTTTAGTAACTCAAAATTAACTATAATTTTACTCATTCCTTACATTTATCATATTACAGAGTATGTTAAATGGCTTTTAATCACTATAATTACTGAGATAATAAACTGTTGTGGAATAATCTTTTTGTGAAGATGTGTCACTCAAATTGGTTTAATAAAAAGCTGAATGGCTTATAGGTAGGCAGAATTTTCAGGGCAGAGAGGACACTGAGAAGAAGAAGGTGGAGTTACCAGTGGAATAGTGGGAACAGACATGCAAGAAAAGATGTAAAAGCCACGTATCACATGGCAACATATAGATTAATAAAAATGGGTTAATTTAAGTTGTAAGAGCTAGTTAGAAACAAGCCTAAGCTATCGGCTGAGCTTTCATAATTAATATGAAGTCTCCGTGTCGCTCATTTAGGAGCTGGCCGGCAGGACAAAGAAAGTCTAGTAACAAATGGCGCCCAATATCTAGGCAAGTATTTCCACATAAGACATGAGAAAGCTTAAAAAAAAGGTTCTGAACACACAAGAATGGAGCCAAATGCGGCTTCCTACTCCTGCAGTCTCTCCTGAGGGTTGCAGTATAGAGACACATCTCTCAGTCATGGCCTGCGGGCTTGTGCTGACAGCACTCCACAAGCTAAGCTGCTCATGCAGACAGAATAAGTTGCAGATAAGCTGTAAGGCAGGGTCATATGGAAAAAACAAACAAACAAACAAAAACCTCTAAACAGGTTACAGAGTACTTAACAATGTTTGTAGGCTTAAGAAAAGAAAGTATAGACAGTTATAAAAATAAATAAATAAGTAGTTTAAAAATAATAGAGTCTTTAAAGAAAAAGTAAAGTAATTAAAAAAAAAGAATAAGCCATGTAGAAATGGGAAATACACAGGGAGTCTGGATCATATATGTTATTGTGTTGTCTTTGAATTTTTTTGATTGCTAATGAACAAATGATAACTGCTGAGAGACACTGGATTATGGAAATTGCTAAATTAAACCAAGCTATATATTTTTAAAATGTCTTAACTTCACAGTGGAAGTTGCCTTGGAGAAGAGGTTACGCTTTTCTTTCCATAGAAAACAAAAGGTTGTGGATTGATTCAAGGTTAAAGAGGATCAGGTTTGATCAGGGGAGATGCCCTGAAAATCCTAGTTATAGACATAAAGAAATAAACCTAAAATAACTACAAGACAGGTGACATATATTTTACCTGCTCAAACATAAAACAAAAAATCATCTTTGGCTGGCTTGTTGTGTCTAATGCACAGTCCATACTTGTGTTAATACACATATGTATGTTACCTTTGAAAGTTTATGTGTTTTCAGAGTTAGGTGACCAGACACCAATGAAAACGTGGTGGCCCAAGTGGTCCAGCCTCTCAGAGTGCCTCTGTTGCAGTTTCCTCAGAGTTCTGCATCCAGAACAGCTTCAAGGATGCTGGCTGAGATGGTCCAGCCTCACAGACTATTCTAGCCAGGACTTGACCACTACCCTAATTTTCTCAGAGTCCTCCAAAGATGCCAGCACACCCAGACAACAGAAAGCATTCCAGAGAACACTACGCCCACATTCCCAAGAGATGGATTGGATGGTTTTTGGTCCTTCAGTGGGTTATGGAGATTTGTCATCATTTAGTGGAGTTGGTTACAAATTGTTATTGGTCCTGGTCAGAGAGAGAAAGCTAAACAAAGGAGATTATATTCAAGGATGTCTTTTTGATGAGAAAAAGGGGGAATATAGTATAAAAATGATGAGATAAAAGGGTGGATTGTTGAGTTTATTTTTGAAGAACCATTAGTCTCAAATATTCTACATTGGGATGAATTTTTGTATACTGATACAAATTTAAGGTTACTTTTGTTAGAACATACTGTACATACGTATCTACTCTTTTTTTTTTAAGGTATTGTACCTATGCAGCTTATTTAACAATGTTGCTGTGGAATATTGTTCTGTATGCTGTGAATGTGTGTTGCTGATTGGTTGATAAATAAAATGTGGATTGGCCAGTAGCCAGGCAGGAAGTATAGGCTGGATAAGCAGACAAGAGAATTCTGGGAAGAGGAAGGCTGAGTGACCAGTCAGACACAGAGGAAGCAGAATGTCAAGGCAGAACTGAAAAAAAGGTACCAAACCATGTGGCTAAATAAAGATGATAAGAATTATGGGTTAATTTAAGTGTAAGAGCTAGTCAGTAATAAGTCTGAGCTAATGGCTGAGCAGTTATATTAATATAAGCCTCTGGGTGTTTACTTGGGGGACACAAGTGGGAGAGATTTGTCCCAAATGCCGGCTGGCCAGGATATAGGAAAACTTCCAGCTATACAATGTAATGTAAATTTCTAATCCTTGAAAGTTATTATTACAAACTGTTTAGGATAACAGAAATACAGGCTAGTAGTTAGTCACCTATAACAATCAAACTTGTAGTCATGTTAGGTATGTTTTCATAAATGGGTTAATTTAAGTTGTAAGAGCTAGTTAGAAACAAGCCTAGGCTATCAGCTGAGCTTTCATAATTAATAAGAAGTCTCTGTGTCATTTATTTGGGAGATGGCTGGTGGGGCAGAGAAAGACTAGCAACATAAACTTAATGAGGAAAAGGTCCATTTTGTCACACAGTCCACGGTCACTTAACTCCATCATTTTGGACCTGTGGTGACACAGAACACTGTGGCAGGAAGGTGCAGTGGAGAAGACCCATTTATCTATGCAAATAAAGAAGCTAAAAGAGACAGAGGGGCCACAATGCCTACATCCAGCTAAACAGCAAACAGCCATTGCCACAGCTGCCTTGCAATAGGTCTCACCTGAAAGTTCTCCCATCTCTCAGCTATGTTACAGGCTGGGGACCAAGCCTTTAACACCGGTACCTCTGGAGGGAAGACAACAAGAGTCTAATAATACAAAGGTCCTGTGACCTCAATTTTACAGATTAGAGAACAGAAAGTGTTAAGAATTTGCTCAGAACTATGACAGAGTAAGAAGTAGAACCAAATTCAAAACTAAACAATTTAACAAACTAAAACTCATAGTAACATACAGAGTCCAGACAAATCCTTACCAAAAAATGATGAACACAGGGCAAGAGTACAATGTCTGCCAAAGTGAAGTACAGTCCTTCTGCAAACACGTGCTCCAGAGGCGGAAGGTCAGAGGCTTTTGCTTTCCTGATGTGAGAAGGCTCCCTGTTGGCAGCAGCTGGATCCTGCACTGTGAGCTTTGAGAATGCCACCTTCAGTTCTAGACTCTTGGATGAGCCAGCCAACTCTTTGGATGGTTGCTGTGCATCATCAGTCTGGCTCTTTGCTTTCCCCTTAGCAGTCTTCTGTTGCTTCAGCTTCTGTCTGCGGAGTTTGTCATCATTGTGTACTCTGACAGGCTCGCTGAGTTTTCTCTCAAGCTGTAGTATTTCTTCAGGAATAGTTGGGGGCTGGTCAGAAGACTTTTGGAGAAAATTCTCAACAGCCAAAGGGATGGTGAGTTCACATAGCCTGGTCCACTGACTAACCTATAAAACAAACAAGAGGTGAGCCATTCTCTCCTCTCCACATATCCGGAAGAAAAATCAGCTGTTATTGGGAAATACGAGTGATTCTGAGCTGGAGAGATGGCTCATCTGTTAAAGGCTAGGCTCACAACCAAAATTTTAAGAGTGGTTTAAATAATTTAAGTGATGGGCTAAAGAATCCTTGGGCTTAGCTCCTATGCTAGATCAGAAAACATACTACAATGCTTCAAACATGAACACCTTAAATGATGCAGCTTCTGTACTCCTGCAGCCTCTTACTGAATAAGTCCTTACCTCCCATGGTTTTGAATGAGAAGACACTCACGCATTTCAACACTTGGTCCACAGTGTGGTGGAACGGTTTGGGAAGGATTAGGAAGTATGGCCTTGTTGGAGGTGTGACAGGCCTGACAGTGCTGTTTTTTCCAAGATTGTGAAAGACTCTGGACTAGGAAAGCAGTTGACTGCTCTAAAACAGGCTTGATGGGCCATCCTAGTAGGAGCCTGCAAGACACTAGTGCTGAAAGCAGTGCAGACTACGGAGGCCCCAGCTCAAGAGGTTTCAGAGGGAAACAATACTATTAGCAAATGAGCTAGAGGCCTTTCTTGTGATACTTTGACAAAGAAATGTGGCTGCTTTTTGCCTGCATCCTAAGAATCTGACTGAGGATAAATGAAAAAGTAATGAATTAATTTCCTTGGCTGAGGAGATTTCAAGAAAGCCTAACATTGACTCTGTCCCATGGTTATTAGTATCACTCTTACATAGATCTAAAGTGAAAAAGAACAAGTGGGACAAAAAGAAATACAAAATGTACAGCAGGAAGGGGAAAGAGCACCAGGAAATTTAACAGTTTAACTTTGGAGCCAAGGCTTGTTTGTGCTCAATAAGATAAGGACATTCCCAATGCAAAATGAAATAAAAGGAGGGGTGCCCTCAGGACAAGAGCCCACCCAGTTAAGCTTCCAACTTGTAGAAGGAAAATTCTTGAGGGATTGTTCTGCTCCTAAAAAGCAACAACAAAGGAAGCTTCTACAAATGTAATTCAAGGAGGGAGCCATGCTACACCCCAAGTGGTCAGCATATGCTCTGGCTTTAGAGTTATGAAGGAGGTAGGAATTAAGGGATTGAAAAATCTTCCTTTATGATTAAGGAGAGCTGCTGAGGCCAGGTGTATGGCAGAGAAGTCTCTGTATGGAAGCCTCAAAAGGCCATTGCATAAAGCTGGGAAGGTGAAGACTGGATTGCGCTGGAGACCCCAAGATGTTGGAGTTACCAGAGCCATGAGCCATCTGTCAAGGACAGCTGCAGATGGGATGAAACCAGCCCAAGAGAAAGAAGTGTATTGCAATCAGCTGGTGGAGCCATCTAAGCCCTCTGGCTTCAGACATGGAGCTACAGTATTTAGAACTGGCCCTTCAGGGTTTCAGTCTTGCAATGGTCCAGTGTTTCCTCACTCTCTCTTGGAATGGTAATATAAATTCCATGTCACTGAATGTTGGAAGTACATAATTTGCCTTTTGATTTTACACATGGTTACAATTAAAAGATTGCCTAAAGTGTAAGAACTTTGGACTTTGAAACAGTATTGTGACTGTGAAAGATATGGGGATTTCTGAAGTTTGACTAAATGCATTTTGCTTTATGATATGGCCCCAAGCCTGTAGGGGCTAAAAAGTAGAATGTGGTGGTTTAAGTGAGAATGAGCCCACAGGCACATATATTTGAATACTTGTCCCCAGTAGGTGGAACTGTCTGGGAAGGCTTAGGAGGTGTCCCCTTGTTGGAAGAAATGTGGCTCTGTGGAGCAGTTTTGAGTTTTCAAAAGACTCAAACCATTTCCCGTAAGTTCTGTGCCTTGAGGTTGTGTCTGAAGATGTGAGCTCTCAGCTACTGTTTCAGCACCATGCTTACCTGCTTCCCTGCTCTCTGCCATGATGGTCACGAACTCTAGTCCCCTGAAACTGTAATCCCCAAATAAACTCTTTCTTCTATAAGTCACCTTGGGCATAGTGTCTTAACACAACAACCGAAAAGTAACTAAGACACTCAAAAAGGCTTTAAAACTACTTAGATATTGCAAGGCACTACAACTTGAACTCTTACAAATATATGAACATTTCTTTTAAATTCCTCAGTATAACAAAGGGGGGAAAACATTATTTCAAAACTTCATAAAGTACATCTTAAATTCTTACTGTTTTTTATTGCCCTGTCATGACGACATACGTAAAAGACTCTTAACTATCCAATAGTTACCAACAGGAAGTTAAGATCATGTTGGAGTGAAAGTTATTACTGATAGCTTTAAGTAAGAGAGGAGACCATATACTTACTTCAGCACAGGCTTTCAAACAAGTCTTTTTAAAACCCAGAAGTTCCAAAATCTCCTTTCTTGAGGGCTCAGCTTCATAGGATTTCTGGATTACGTGTCTGAGGACAACAGCAAGTCCTGCTCTACAGAAAACGTCTGGTTGTTCTACCACTGCAGGCAAACAGCAATTCTGGACTATCGGTGGGAGCGCCTGCCTTGAAATAACCTGTATGTCCACATCCTGGGACAGTGCCTCTCTGGGGAGTGAAGCATCTGCATTTTCTTCGGTAAGGACCAAGCAAACATTAAAGACCTTGCAGTCACAGTAGGATAATAAAAACAGAGTTACAGACGTATGGAGAGGAAAGATGCACCCCTCTGTTTGGTGAGAGTACTCCAGGTACAGGGACTCTTCGGTAGGACTTTTCTTAATGCCTTTCATTTTGTTTTCATTGGGTCACCTGTAACAAAAATTGAAGGTTATAGGCCTTCAAATATATATAACAATTTAGAAGCTAAAAGATGAGTGTTTTTCAAAAAATCAGTAAGAATTTGTATCTAAGAATTTTTACTTCAAGGATGAATGGCTTTAAAAAGAAAACTTCCTCCCACTCTGCATGATTAAACATTTTTAGTGATGATTTTAAGATGAGTAACCTTGGTGTTTTGTATTGGAAGCACTGTTAGTACTCTTCTACAGCCCTCCCCCACCAATTTTTTCTGGATCTATCTGTAGTATAAATACAGAATTATTTCACAGCATTTCCACTGCTTCTCAGTCACTCTCACTTCTAAATTATATCAACTGCCTCCACCTCCCCCCATCCCCAACCTTAATTTATTCTGTTAATATTGAAGTTCTGCCACTCAGCTTAAGTCCTATAGTATCTTTCCATCCTACTGAAATAAGTCAGACCTCCTACAGTGCCTTACAGTGTAATCATTTTGTCTCTTAAGTTCATTTTTTTTCATTGCTTATTGCTTCCCCAAAAGTGAATTAAGATTCTCCCAAACTCTATCTATACTCCAACTTCAAAAAATACTCGGTGTTTCCAGAACGCAGAATTCTGCTTCAGGTATTTAATAATAGGTAGCATCTTGGATGCTAAGATGTTCTTTGGCTCCTTCTTTGTTTTTTTTTGGTTTTTCGAGACAGGGTTTCTCTGTGTAGCTTTGTGCCTGTCCTGGAACTCACTTGGTAGTCCAGGCTGGCCTCGAACTCACAGAGATCCATCCGCCTGGCTTTGCCTCCTGAGTGCTGGGATTAAAGGCGTGCACCACCACTGCCCGGCTCCTTCTTATATTATAACCCCAGTCTACACACTCTTTCTTATATTATAACCCCAGTCTACACACTCCTTCTTATACTATAACCCAGTCTACACACTCCTTCTTATACTATAACCCAGTCTACACACTCCTTCTTATATTATAACCCAGTCTACACACTCCTTCTTATATTATAACCCCAGTCTACACACTCCTTCTTATATTATAACCCCAGTCTACACACTCCTTCTTATATTATAACCCCAGTCTACACACTCCTTCTGATATTATAACTCAGTCTACACACTCCTTCTTATATTATAACCCAATCTACACACTCCTTTTGCTTTGCCTTCCATGCTTTAATTTCCCCCACAGCACTTAGCACCATATAATACACTATTTATTCAATGTTATTTGTCTATTAGACTATTAGAATATTCTGTAAGAATATTTTGTTAACTATAATACCTAAAATAGAGCCTGCTAAATATTTGTATGTAAAAGTATTTGCTGAAGGAATACATGTATGAGTATACACACTGGTCGCTTTAAAGATGTATATCTTGAGGTCAATTTATTTAAGGCTTTTGTCAATAATGACTTTTTGCATTTGAGTTAACCACATTCTAATCCATAAACCACAATTCAAAAACTGACACTAGATGGCACTCTTTAAAAGCATTTATAAGTATGTAACCAGAAGAAGATGTAGTAGAGAAAAAAAAAAAATATGTGCATGTGCACGTATGTGGGGGGGGGGGGGGCGTGAGGTGCATATGCATTTGTAGAAAGGTACAAAAGAACCATTAAAAAGGCATTTTGCAGCCGGGCGGTGGTGGCGCACGCCTTTAATCCCAGCACTCGGGAGGCAGAGCCAGGCGGATCTCTGTGAGTTCGAGGCCAGCCTGGTCTCCAAAGCGAGTTCCAGGAAAGGCGCAAAGCTACACAGAGAAACCCTGTCTCGAAAAAAACGGAAAAAAAAAAAAAAAAAAAAAAGGCATTTTGCATATAAGCTATAAACTTGATTCACTGTGAGTACTTAACTAGTGTTAAATATCAACAAAATAAAATAGAAATATTTTCCCATGATGAAATCAGAAAAATTAATGAGTTGTCCAAGAGAAAAAGCAAAGTACAATTGATTTTTTAGTGCTTTTTTCAATATAGATATTAGTGGAGGTTTTTTCCTCCCCCCTTGGAAATCAAAATGTTAGTTAATAATTGTAGAGCTAAAAAAAAATTACTCTCTTGGGCAAATTCTCATTACTCATTAGTATAATAGTTAAAAATCAAACATTTAATAAACCTGTACAAATTTGGGGGGGTGTTTTGGTTTGCACTGTGTTTTTAGGAGTAGAACATAGTTTTGGCTTAAAGTTTATAAATATAATAGGCAAAAAGAAATTCCTTTCCCCCCTCTTTTTCTGCTTTGACAGTTCCCTAGTTACATCCTGAACTTTACGACAGACACGCAAGAGTCAATTTCAGGGTCCCCGAGGTTTCCAGAGCACAGCTTGCACTGCCCCTTATTAGATTTTTGTCAAGCACAGACCTGTCACTGCTCTTTCTCAATCCTGGCATATGCCACACCGCAATCACTGAAAGGACATGATAAAACAGCAGACAAAAACATAAGCTTCAGGAGCTGAGCACAACCAATGGAATATGCATCCATCTCTTATGTCCACACCACTGGGAATCTGCAGGAAGAATAAATAGGTTAAAAGAAAATATTGACAGTTCAGTCTCATTACATAGAAATCTTCAAGGATATATTTGAAAATGGTTGTGTTAAATCATAGGTATAATACTTAGACATTTAGACATTTTAATTCTAAATAATATATCTTGGCTTAGACAAAATATTTCATATGCTGCTAGGCTTGGTGACACATGCCTTTAAGGCAGAGGAAGCAGATCCCTGTGAGTTCAAGGCCAGCCTGTTTTACATACTGAGGTTCTGAAAGCCAGGACTATATAGAGAAAAACCTGCCTTTTAAAAAAAAGTTTTAAATTTTTTAATACTCCACCCCATTTATGTTCTGTGTGCAGATGTCTAAGGAAGACAGGAGGGAGAGGAGGAGGAGGAGGAGAGAGAATATAAAGAAAAAATTAAAAATAAACATACTTCTCTATCAGCCAGAATTTTAAAAATCGATTTGAATGTTTTGTGTTCAAAAGTCAAAAATTCAAGTCAGGCTCTTTGGCAATTCAATATTACACAATAAATTATGTTCTATATGACAGACAAAAAACTATGTTATTCAGCAAGATATCAATCAGTGTTCTGTTTTGTTTTTGTTTTTTTTTAATATTAGCTAGGCATTGTGCGCACACCTTTAATCTCAGCACTCAGGAGGCAGAGGCAGGAGGATCTCTGTGAGTTCAAGGCCAGCCTGGTCTATACAGTCAGTCCCAGGACAGCCAGGACTACAGAGAGAACCTGTCTCAAAAAACTAAAGTATTAACTGAATCTGAAGGGATCTATTTTGAAAATATTCAGAATTTTTTTTAGAATAAATACTATCGTACACTTATAAAGTGGAGGCAGGAGAATCAGTTCAAAGTCATCCTAAAATACATAGTCAGTTTGTGTTCAGCCTGTGTTACATAAGAATCTGTCTCAAAACCCCAAAATTTTAGAAAACATTAATACTGTAAGATTATAGTATAAATAAAAGCATATTTTATTGTAGGGGCAATCTTACCAAACTGAAAATTATTAAAATATTTCCAGCAAGGATGCCAACCTCCTAATTCTTAATAAAAAAAAATCTCCATTCCAAAGTTGTTTATTTGACAATTTTCAACACTAGATACAATTCCTTGTCAGTTGCTTCCTGATTCCATTTGCCGGACAGTCTTTAGATGGCTCAAGGGTTCATGGCTCATATTCTAATTACACAGGAGGATCACAAGTTTGAAGCCAGCTTGGACTACATGGTGAATTCAAAGCTAGCTTGGGAAACTTAGGGAGGCCCTGTTTCAAAATCAGAAGGCTAAGAAGTAGCTCAGTGGGAGAGCACTGGCCTAGTATATATAATCTCTAGTACCAGAAAAAGCAACAGCAAAACCTGAAATAATATCATGAATACTCTATTACACTGAATAAATCTGATTTTATACTGTTTTTTCCCTTTCCTTTTAAATGATAGCTGTTGACTAATTTCATGACCCATTATCAGTACAGAAGTCTGTTGTGTGATACTTTGATTGCATTCTGACAATAAAGTTTGTTTTGAATCAGAGGGCAGAGCTAGCCATTAGCTGACCAAAATTAACCATAGAGGTTTTGGAGGACAGAGGAAGTAGTAAGGCGGGGTTTAGAGAGGATCTTGGCCCTTTTGGAGGAAGGAACTCAAGAGGTAGGAGGTTACTGATGGCTTCTCCAAAGTTTCTCTGATCATTCATGTTCTTACCTCAATACCTGACTCCTGATTTTTGATTGATAAAGCATAATTAGTTAAATGCTTCGGAAGTCACATTTAACAGCACCATTCTATGTGATCTCAGTGCCAGTAGCTTTAAGTACTATCTGACTCCTACATTTACATCAGGCTCCTTGACATTTCAACTGGATCTTTTGCTAAGTTTGTTCCTTTTCTTTACCCGCCCAGTTGTTGATCAAACAGCAACACCATTCAGCTACCGCAAAGACGAAAGCCCCACTTAAACGCCTGTATCTCTCCTCTCTTGCTATCTCCTTTGAAACAGAACCAAATCTGGTTCCTCAGCATCTACTGCCACTTTATCCGAGGTCATCACCAGCTCTTACAGGATGTAAAGCATCTTATTCCCCGACAAGTCTATTCTCCAACAACCTTTAAAAACAGGTCTCCTGCACAATATGACCCAGGAGTCCCTCAGCACACCTAGAATAAACAGTGTGGATCCAATGTGATCCCCTCTTTATTGTCTGATTTCATTCATATCCTTTCTCACTCTTTTCACCTACACTTCTTCCTGTTCTTCAGAGGTCTGACGCTCCTACCTGAGAATTTTTGTGTTTAGCTGTTCATCTTCCCTTCCTCACGCCACTGAGTTCTCTAGCACATACCGTCTCAAGACTTCCCTGACCACACGAATCGGAAACACACTCCCACACTCCTTAGCTTCTTGTCCAGCATTCTTCTCCTTGTTAGTGTATCACATGACACCGTCAATGATTGATAATGTTCAAATTTTAGTTTATGAGATGAATAAAGATGACTGAATACACAAATGATTGCCAACGATCCATACAAGAGTAACTACTGAAGCCCTCAGTCTGATACATTAGCCTCACTTACTGACACCATTTCCTCTTCCAACTAGTCTACTTTAAAGGCTAAGTGTAAATAAAAATGAAGAAACATGTTCACCTACAAGAGCTGATTCAGGATGGGTGTAACCGGAGTCTATCCAAACATGTGAACAGGGAAACAAAGACATAAATACTGATATTCAGAAAAACTCTTAACCTCAACTACTAAGGCGTCTACACACGTCTAGTGATGGGTAAAAGCCGAGACTCTTGGACATATTTACTGGACTTAAACACTGGTTCTGATCCTTAAGAGCTAGGAAACTTTCCTTCATCTTAGTTTTCTGTTATGAAATGAGGAATGTCATAGCAGAACCTTCCATACGGTATACGCTGTCAACGGACAATGATGGTTACATAAGCCCCTAACTAAATGCTAGCTACTTTATTGTTTTAAGCAGTGCTACAGATCAAACCCTGGGCCTCACATGTGGGAGGTAAGCACTTGGCCACTAAGTCACACCTCAGCCTCTACTATTCATTATCATTTATTCACAAATTCTTTACCTACTGACACTATTAAAGTGCAAGAATTTTAATGGGGAAAATTTACCTTATGTTCTTATTTCCAAATTTCTCCCCAGGAAATGTGTGGACTGTGTTGAACTGAAAAGTGTTATTTTTACAAACATTGAAAATTTGGTACTGAGGTTTAAAACCAAGGAGTCATAAAATGGTGGAAGATAAATGGAGAATTCTTAAGTCAACATACATATTAGCAGATATTTGTATTATACAAAATAAAGTTTGACATAGTTAAGTACGAACATTTGCATATTTCTCTCAAATACTGAAATCTGTTTATACCTGCTCAAATTCTCTCCATCAGAGAATGTTCAATATGTTGAATGGAGAACTTAGGTTATGTTTTAGACTTCTGACAAAGCAGACTATTCAGTTACAAACCCCACTGTACTCTATTACAATACAGATTTTTAAAAATGTTCTTCACAGATAAATAGCCAACTGCACCTAATTAAAAGTCAAAAAAAAAAAAAAAAAGAAATGCAGCTTTTAGAGTTCATTATATTATGTAATGTAGGATGATAGTTCAGAGGCAATTAGCCCATGATTAAAATTAGCTTTTTTCTTACCAGGGCAAGAAATTTTTATGAAATAAGCGAAGTGTGGAAGTGAAATGCTTACTGAAATCTTAGTTACAGAAGAAGTATATAATCTCTCTCGAGATTCAAAGAATTGTCCGTTGCTATGGAGTCATAATGCTTGCAGCTAAATCTGACCTGTGGTTAACACGGATTGACAGCATGAAATGTAAACATGTTGAAAGTATCAGCAAGCCTGAAAAAAAAAAAAAAAACTGAATTATCTCAGCAAACAATACTGATTTTATGATACAAAGTTTAAACTCCTGCATCCCAAGAAGTGATCCTAGCAGAATCCAGTAAGTTACTTTGAATCGAAGGATTAAAACAACACATACGCAGTAACTGTCTACACTACAGACTGTCACCTGGTTAGTCCCAGAAGTTTTAATGTCTGCTACATTATTGCTATTAGTAAGAGCAACTGGATTATTGTTTGTGCTGATTTCAAACCATGTGTTGCTGAAACAAAAGCTAGAAAGAATAACAGGTTTAAAACCAATCTTCTTAGGTTTACAACCTTTGTTTAAAGTGAGCAAATACATAGAAGTGTTCTTTCTACTTTCCCCCTACCCCATGGATAGCACTGCATCCTATCGCCCCTTCCTTGAAAGCCCATCTCTCCATGGTCTCTTACTAATTTAAAGGTGTGCTGTTATTGTTGTTGTTGTTTTTTAATTAATAACATAAAACAATGTTCAAACTTTAATCTTATTTTCGAAGTTTGGCCTCTTAAAATGAAGCCCTCAGGTGCAAATGAAATACAAATAAAGAGAATACTTAAGGCGATCACTGTCGTATTGTATGCTCCCACAATGCAATTATAAAAAATAAAAAAATAAAAAAACCCCAAACCTCATAATATAGCTTAATGTTTGATCTAGTAAATGACAGCAAATCAGTTGTTGTATTATAAGTTTATTCTCGTGGCATTTTAATGACCATATTTACATGTTTAATTTCATCACTAGTTCTTGCTAGTTTTTGTATTCTTTCCTCTAAACACCCTTTCTGTTGAAAAGCCCAAAAGAAACTTGACAAACGCCTCATTCTTTAGCAATAATTTGGTAGGAGATACATTAATCTATCTTTTCTGATCTTAAGGAGTTTATGACAAGGAATTTGGGGGTGGACATAGAGCGGGAGGGGGGGGGGGGAGGAAAGGAGGGGGAGGGTCATGTAATTCCCAAACCAAGCCAAGTTGGGGCGGTATGTGTTTGAGCAGTCATTTTTTGAAGTCAAAGCAATGTTCATGCAAGCTCATCTCAAATGTTCTGTTCAAGTTAATGATCGAAGAGAAACGCTGCTTTGATGGGGGATAATATAAGCAAAGGGTTCCCCAGATGTAGCAAATCCGTTGGAGTAACTGTGAAACAGTATCCACCACCTCCAGCGTCCAATCAGGATGGGCTGCAACGGAAAACTCTTTGGGAAAAGTTAGCGTGTGCTCCAAGAGGTCTTCCCCCGGCAGCTAACTGCAAACGACCCCCCAAACCCCTACCACGCCAAGCTGCCCTGTTCCTTTACCCACGCAGGAGGACCGGAGGGTTGGCTCGCAGCAGCAGCGGAGTGGCCCACGCGTCACTCGGCGGAACGGCGCGCAGCCCTCCGGCCGCACCCTCCGCTACGTCCGCGGCGAATGCGGGGCCGGGAAGACTTCCGCCGGCTGCGAGCCCTCGCCGGTCCTGCCTCGCCCCCGAGCTCAGCCCTGGCGACCCCTGAGGGACAGCGCGGTCCTCAGGGGCCCCGAGCGCCCTCTTTACCTGGTCGCAGGGGCGCGGCCAGGCAGGGAGGGCGCGAGAGCGTGCGGGCGACGCGGGCCACCGCGCCTTCCCGCCCAGCCCGAGCCGGGATTCCGAAGCTACTGCTGGAAGCCGCGGCCTGAGGAGCACTCGCCTCCAGTGAGGCCCCAAAGTGGGGGGAAGAAATAGTAATCATCAAGAAGCAAGGCGTCTGGGAAGTCCCCCCGCCCACCGTCATTCATAATCCGGCGGACCGGAAAAGGCCCAGCGTCACTTCCTGCTGTCTCACTAGGAAACGTTCCCCTCCCGACCGGTTGCGGGAACCTTTGTTCCTCGCTTCTGATGCCGGTTAGGGCGGGGACGGGTTCGAAAAGAGCTGCCGGGAACGGACAGAGTGGCGGGGCGGAGCGGTGAGTTGTGACGAGGGTCCCCGCTTCCTGGCGCCTCGGGGAGGCTCGAGACCCCGCGAGGGGCGGCCGGAGTGGAGCTCCATAGGGTGTTGGTCTCCTCCCTGCTGGAGGGGAAAAACCTCATAATTTGCGGGCAGTTGCGTGCTACAGCCTAACCGCTCCTCCTCTTCTGTAAGGATTGCGTCCCAGGGTGCTGTGGACTGGGGACATGGCCCCTGGGGACTGGGTCCGTGGATCTGTCGTAGACCTTTGTCAAAGGGTTCCGGAGACCTCTCTGCAGCTCTCGGTTTCCGTCTCATTTTCTGGCTCCCTTGTCAAGGACTTTTCCCTGTAAAAGGCCACCCGTGCGTTTTGATTCCATCAAAGGATTCTCATTCCTAAGTGTCCTCTGTCTCTTTACGGATTCTCCTGCGCTTAGTTTGTTTTGGAATTGGGCTTTTTATGCTCTGCTCTGAGTTTCCAGACTTACCCTAGGGCCAAGTACTAAATGGAAGGATGAAAAGGGCAGCATCTTAAAAAAAAAAAAAAAAAAAAAAAAAAGTTTACTGGAAAGGAATGGATGTTTTTCTTTTCCAATGTTATGAGATGGTAATCCTAGTATTGCACCGTCGAGAATAGTCAGTTTCCTGTATCTCATGCACAAGCAAGTGATCAATTTTGAACTTTGAAACTAGCAGGCAGGATGAAAGGGACCCAAAGGAAAACATATATTTAGCTAAAGATGTTTAATTTTGTTTGGGGACATCACAGAAGCCTTGCAAAATGAAATTTTAGCAAAAATCTAGTTCATCCAATAGATATTTAAAAGCAACTGTTAAATTCTAATTGCTAGAGAAATAACTGCATCCCCCACCACACACACACACACACACACACACACACACACACACACACACACACACACACACAAACCCCTGCTCTCACAGAAGCTATATGCTAGTGAGATTAATAAATTAAAGACTATGAAAGAATAGAAAATGAATGTTTCACATCAGAACACTGTACATATTTCTACCAGTAAATAGATGGTTGTTTTGAGTTTTGGTTTTGTTGGGAGGAAAACACATTTGAATTTCTTTAATGCCTTTTGCTGAAGTAAACGGAATTGTGTAGAGTTAAAGAGAACATTAGACTTTGCTTTGATGAGTTAACCAAATAACAGTGTAGCCACTGTTTTAAGAGTAACATAGAAATAAGAGAAACAAGGAATTCAGGCTTAAGAAAGTGAGAGAAAACCATAAGGAATCCTCTGCCTAGAAATGATATTTGATAACAAAATGTGTATGATTACTGAAGAACAAATTGGTAGCAAAATTGAAGCAGGAAGCCCAGGACAGACAGTTGGGGCAATAATAAGAACAGCAGGAATGAGATGAGCCAGGGAAAGAGTAGTCAGAAATGGAAAAAAAAAATTTAAAGTTAAATATAATAATGCAAAGAAAATTTTATAAAATACAAAGTCCCATTAATGTATTTACTTGGTCTTAAAATAAGGAATGTTGCTGGGCGGTGGTGACACATGCTTTTAATCCTAGCACTTGGGAGGCAGAGGCAGGTGGATTTCTGTGAGTTCGAGGCCAGCCTGGTCTACAGAGCTAGTTCTAGGATAGCCAGCGCTGTTACACAGAGAAACCCTGTTTCAAAAAAGTAAACAAAACCGGAATGTGACTCCAACAAAGTGATTAATATCAGAGATAGAAAGTAACTTGTAAAGGGAAAGCTAGACTTAAAACTGAGGAGGAGAATTAAGGGTACAAGTGGTTCCACTGGGTCGTGTTCAGTGGGGTGCCTCAGGAAGACAGCCAGGTTAAACTTGCTGTTAGCTCTTATGGAAGGGGTGACTGAAGAGAACCGTGGGCTTGAAAGTGAAGTTTATGGTCATTGGCAAAAAAGCAGATTTTCTGGAGCAGCAGTTCTCAAATTGCAAAACAAATTGGGATTGCCCAGGTGGTTTGATCCAGATTGTCAGGCTTCACCCCAGAGATTTTTCTTCTGTAAGTTAGGAAGTGGAAACCAAGAATTTGCACTTCTAACATGTTTTCAGGGGATGCCTGTGCAGCTGTGCTGTTGATCCCAAAGACAGATTTGAAAGAGGGTGTATCGTGCAATCAAAAGACACCCAGAACCCATTCCTGAATATCTCATTTATAACCCATGTAGGGGAAATCTACAAAGACTGAGAACTGAGTAGAAGGGAAAATAGTATATTTTAGTTTTCCTTTGACTAAATTAGCCATGGTAAGATTATTTTCATAGAATTATGGGAAGAAGACCCTATTGTATGAATTGAAACATTAATTAGAAAGGAACACAGAAAATATGAAAAGTAGGTTTTATTTGAGGGAAGTCTTGCCACAAAGAAAGACAGAATAAGAAAGGAGTAATGTCAGTGCAAGATGCCAGGGTCGGGGAAGGCCTGAGAATAAGATATTTCAAATAACCCAAAGTGTAACGTTCTAGAGAGCACAGGAAAAGACAGGATCCATGTCCAACTGACATTACTTACAGAGCCATTTCTCACTGTTTTTTTAATCAAATGGAAAAAGAGAAAAGGATAAGTGCATGTAGTTTTAAAGAAAAAGTGTAATTGCTGGTTCAAGAAAGAGGGAAGTAAATTGACCAAATAGCATGGCAAGAGTGCTAAGTATGACGCACGCCAATACTGGACTAGTCACTTGGAAGAGAGTATGGTATTTTTTTTTTCAGCTGCATTTAGTTGGGATGTAGATGGGAGAAGATGCCAAATGGGTGCATGTCTACAAAGTATTGAAATCATGGATCAATAGGATAAGGATGCTTAGAACTGAAAGAGAGACATTGAAATGCTTGTCCTAGAATAGAAGCTGAACAGGAAAGAAATAGCATGCTCCCCATAAACAAAGGTGGGGGGGTCATTGTATAGTAATGGAAGTTCTAGTGTGACTTACGTTTGGACAGATAATTCCTAGTGTGACCTAGCCATTCACTCCCACATCACCACTACCACTTCACTAGGTCATTGATTGTTTTAAAGTAATAAATGTTGATTTTCTTAGATTTCTGTTTTAAACAACACTTAAGTTTTTAAAATAAGTGCACACTTAACATATTCTTTCATCTGTCTTCCTGTTCTGCATTTACATGCACATAACTTATGCCACCCACTACTTCTGTTGGACTGAGAAAGAAGTTGGAGCAAGACAGTGTCAATAAAGAAGCAGCACAAGGGACACATGGAGCCACTGTAAATTCAGAAAACATATGATGTGGGAGTGAAGAAAAGGGGGGGATTAACAAAGAAAAAAGGTTGGCTGGGTACCCAGAATATGTTCGTAAGATAGTGGAAAAGAGAAAATAATGGAAGATGTAATTTTAAAAGGAGTGGTGGATGTTGACTGTAGTCAAAGAGAATAGGTGGGGTAAACTTTACATTTCACTGGCTGAAGATAACGCTCTTACTGGAAAGAACTAAATAAAATTGTTTGTAAAAAGTTTTAGAGGAGCATAGTGTATGCTGAGTGAAAGGTAATGACAGGGGGAGAGAAGGAAGAGCCTGGTGCTACTGTTCTGTAATGAGAGTGGGAAGGTGCAAGTGGGAGGTTGGTAAATGGGGTCATGGAAATTGTTTCTAAAATCATCAGTACAGAAGAGGCTCCTATAACCACCTTTATAGCCTTTTAGATGGAACATGCAATGAACACTGCCTTGTAGGAGGCTATAAAAAGGTGATATTGTTAGTGAGAATAGTAAAGACAGAAAGTGCATGAGGAAAAAGTAGAAATGTAGGGGAATGCGTTATTAATGGATGGGGGCTGATAATAAAGGTAGTTTGGGAAGGGAGAAGGGCTACACTGAATGAAAACATTGGATGGATTTGCAGAATGATTTGTACTTTAAATAGGCCATGATATATAAGGAGAAAGGGGAAACTGGAAATTACTAGATAGTTTGCAACAGTGGACTCCAAGCCTTTCTTATTCTATGAGATTAAAAATTGAGCATACTTGCGCATCCACCCACCACATTCCACCATGTGCACCAGTGAGTTTGAAAGATACATCAGTAATTTATGCCAGGGGTGCAAAGTGTGTCAAGTCTTTTATAAAAAAGAACTGACTCCAAGGTTTCCATTAGAATATTGATGTTGACATTTTCTGTAGGCTTACACCAAGGGTCACTTCATCTATAGGCATTTCATTTGTGATGACAGACATAACAATACTTTGCTTCCCTTTTTTAGAAAAGAAAGTAGTGCTTCTGTCACAAATATTTGTCTAGGTATCGGCTCTTTGCTCAGTATCCTGTAAAACAGACTGTCCTGGGTTAAATAAGCTAGAATGTATAAATTAGGTCATAGATTAGACTGTGTTTGTCTTGTAGAATCTGGAACAACAGGTTTATCTCTTTAATTAATCATGGAAATTATTTTAAACTATGTTTCCTCAGTATTAGTGAATATGATGCTCAGCCTCATAAGAATATTTTAAAATAATCATCCTGAACCCATCATTCTTTGGAGATGATATATGTAATATAATATAAAGCATCAATAGAGCCTATTCCATTTATTAAATTCTTACTAATATAACTATTTGGAGTATGCTTACTTTTTCATTCTATGGAATGAAATGGAGCGTTCAAACTCCATTACCTAGGTAATTCAGACAGATGATATTTTTGTAGAGCATAGAATTAACAATAATTTTTTGATTATCAAATAGATAGTACCTTTTTAGGAACTTATAT